AGAGAGAGAGAGAGAGAGAGAGAGAGAGAGAGAGAGAGAGAGAGAGAGAGAGAGAGAGAGAGAGAGAGAGAGAGAGAGACATAGGCCAGAGTATTGTCTTTGCGAAAAAATAATTTGATGAATCTCATAATTTTCTTCCGAGTTATTTGACTGTACTTCGCATGTACTGAGTGAATAAAAGCTACCATAATTTTCACGTAACGCTCTAAATATTCGCTGGATTACGAGGTGAGAGGTGAGAGGCGTTGAAAAGGGAGTCAAAATTATTTGCGCGCCATGGTGAATTATTATAATGGACCGCGTCCGGAAATAAAATTCCAGTTCACTTTCCATTTATTCTCGTTTATTTCACGTTCATTTCCTGTGAGTATTACGATTTATCGATTCGTTTTTCTACCAGACTGTAGTCGCGTAAAGGCCTATTTAGATGAAATAATTTTCAAGTGACGTAGCTCGTGCATTACTCATAATATGACATTAATTTTACATTGCTATGCCTCGAATGCTATTAGTATCTAATTTTGTTAAGAAATTTAAAATTATATTTAAAATGCATTTTAAAATGCTAATTATTAAAATTGGAAACTAATTTCTATTAGTCTAATGTTGCATTATGTTGCAAACGTCAGCAACCTTCCTATAAAACGGAGTACAATGTTGATATGATACTGAAAGAATGGCAAAATTTCAAGTATATTAAAGATCATCTAGCTTTAAACAGAGAATAGAATACTTTCTTAAATATTGCTATATGTAATTAATTGAGAAGTGAGAACATTAAAATAAAATACCTGTTAGCTTTATTTGATATTTTTTAAAATTTCCTTATTTATATGCAGTTATCAGAAAAATCCGTTTCAATTTTATATTAATTTATTCCACATTCGTATATTGCTATATTTTTATGTAGAAATATTTGATTTAGCTTGAAAGCTTTGCGGATGGAATTGTATGTAATAATATTTGTGTAAAATAGTGTTATGTTTGAACGAGACATTTTCAATCTAAAGATTTACTTGAATATTTGAACGCATATATTTTCAGAGTCAATCATGATTACAATATCTATATTAATAAGAAAGATATTTTGTTACTTAATTCTTTACAAATTTTAACGATATATATTTTTCTTTCTATGTATCGTATGATACTGCATATAATCTAAAAAGAAGAACAAATTTTAAATATTTAACAGAAATGATAACACACACAAATAGACTATTGTGTGTATAAATATATATGTATATATATATATATATATATATATATATATTGTGCTCAAACACTACCGCGTTCTCTCTAATACAACCTATAAATTTAAAATCAGATATTACGATCAAGCACTTACTTTTATACCGTAGTTGCTTTCCTCGTAAATGATGGAAACGTAGCTCCAACCCATCGTCAATACAATGTCGACCATCGCTTTGACCTGATAGTGATCGCTGGGTATCGTACGGGTGAAATATTCGAAGCGTTGTTTGTTGGAAAGCTCCGGACTCGTCGAGAAATAGGAGACCTATACAACACAATAGGCACCTTTCCATCTTAAATTATTCAAATACAAGGGAATTGCTGTAAATTTTGTAACGTTTGGCATGTATACTTAGCCGTTGTTACGATTTTGCAACAAGAGGATATTTTTAAGATATTTATGCAGCACGTTTGTATAAAATGTTTTTATTTGTATTTATGTAAAATGCAGTGAAACGCACATGATGTAGATAAACGACGTTGTTTACGTTTAACCGTTATCGTTTCTCAAATGTTTTAGCTCTTGAGATTAAATTTATATTCACAAGTTACTTTATTTAAATCCATAAATCTTTAAAAACTCGCAACTAAATCGATATTTATATTAGATCATCAAACAACTAATTGTAAGTATAATTTGATTTCAAAATATCTAAAATCTCATTTTCCTTAATATCTACGTTCTTTTTATTTTTTGGATCAAACTTTACATCTGAATTCTTAGTATTTTATTTATTTGCGTTTTGTATTATTTAAATAAAAAGCTTTTTCGTAAAAAGCTTGTACACTAAAAACAAAATAAAAGTTTTTTACGAAAAAGCTTTTTTGGGTACAAAGTATAACAAAACTATTAAGATGATGTACAAGATAAAAATGTATTATCAATATTTTATATAATAAATAAGAAAGAATTATAAACTTCATAAATATAAAAAATATAAACCTATGAGTTCTCGGCTATTTTGTAAAGTCTTCTCTTTCTGAAGTACCATAAATTTCTATGACGTAAAAAGATTGCTATACTAATGCGTAGTAGTATTCGTATTCGGTGGTATAATAACGGTAATGTATAAAACTTGTATGGAATTTTTATCGTTTGTGCTCTTGATTCCAAAATTGTATTCATAATGTCTGAACGTTAAAAAGTTCTTTCCCTCTTAAATTTCTTTCTAATTCTGAAGTCTATCGAAGAACGATATCGCGGGTTTTTCATTGCGTTGCATACGACATTATAGAATACGGATATTTGCGTTGGCATTGGGTAATCCTGTTCGTGATTGCAGGCAAGTGGTTGCGCTTGACTAAAAGCGAAGTAAACTTGGATCCTTCTGAAAGTGGCCGTCGTTTCTGCTAGCCTCGAATTCTCTGATTTTACCGCGGAAATAGACCCAGAAAGCGAAAACGTGTAATGTTTAGATAGTCACATGTAAACTCGTACGGTTTTCTCGAGAAAGAAAAGTAAAGACAACTGGTTAATTTATATCGTTTGATACTCTTTAAAGCGATCTATATTATACTGCTGGAATCTTGTCGGATTTTGTAACGTTACGCAGTGATACAAATTTCACTAAAAATATTTCAGCGAGCTTAATATTAAAGCAGGAAAATATAGCGTCAAAGCTCGAGAAGTATAAGTAATCAAACAGTTGTTATGAAGCTTCAAGATTCAAGAAAGATTCAAGAATTCAACAATGTAAGAATTCAAAGACTAAAAGGTCGCAGAATCTACAGGCTTAAGCGGCTACAGATCGAATGATTCGGAAATCAAAGTTCCGTATTCAAAGAACAAAGTTTAAGGAGTATGAGGATATAGATATTTGACGAAGGGTAAAATCAAATACACTTAGCTGTTTGACGATCTAATATAAATAACGATTTACTCGCTAGTATATGAATTTAATCTCGAGAGACAGAGCATTCAGAAAACGACGACGGTTGTACATAAAGGATCGTTTATCTAAGTCATACGTTTCATCGTAACTTTATAATAAGTTCTATCATTAGTTTGTCATTTATCTATGAAGTTCTCCCTCTTTCCATACAATGTTCTTCGTTCACCATTTGTGACGCTTATCGAAGAATAGACGATTTTGGGTTAGCCGCATGTGGCAACACGCCATAATTAATCATCTTTTCGTCGAGAAAGGCGACTCCTTCGAAATCGACTTGCTGCCGGTTGATACAATTGCGTTGCGCCTTGAAGAACTTTGACGAAGATATGCCATTATCGTTCTTATGATTATCAACCTGGTTTTTCAAATTGTTGTATAAATTAAATTCCTACACCGCGCGTTCTCCGTATTTGGATTCGTTAAAGAACAATATCGAATAGCCCGAAATAGAACAAGATTCAATTTTTTATTATAACATTTATTATAATTTTGTTATTATCTCTATCGTAGATTTTTACGTTTTTATGCTCGTGATGCTCAAGGGTTTGGTTCGGTTGCCCCCGATCATCGTTCGATTTGTCTTATCCAGTAACGAGGTTTCAAACGGTTCGATCTGTACAAGTGACATCGATGCGTAAGCATCGGATGAGTTTATGTAGTGAGAAACGAGGCGGCGTTATCTCACGCCACGAAGGTACCAGCGCTACTTTTCTCCGGAACAACGCGCGCATCCTATCATACATTGCGGTTGTTGCACGCCATGGCGAATATATTTATCATGGTTTGTCAGATTCAGAGTGGCTACTGTATGATCCACTGTAGTAACTTGCTCGTCCGACCATGCATCGTGCCGCATCGAAGAATCACACAAAACTTCGTCTCGGTCCGCTTGATTGGCTTGCTCGATTGATTATACAGCGTCTGTATTTTTCTTTGTCTTCAACGTTAAAACGCGAAAATATTGATTGGAATAAATGTATATATAAAACTCTTGTGAACGAAAAGAATAAATTTCTATATTAATTATTCGTGCGTGATACACATTCGAGCTTTCAAAGTTTTTTCATTTCTTTTTCACTTTCTCATCAACGATGCTGAAGGTCTGGAAAATTTTAAATTAGCAATATCTGGGGAGAAATGGCAAAAAATTATAAAAATTTTTATTTTTTAACCATAAATAGGATAAATAGGAAATAAATAATAAATAATTTAATTAATATTATTTATTGATACATATACAAGAACAATTTATTATTTGACGAAATATATAACATATTATAAATAAAAAAACTTGACAATTATATGTATATTTGTATCGTATACGTAATTAGACAAAATAATCGATAAAGCTGATACAAATGAATCGATACGCATTATTACAATATACATATAAAAAGCTGACAGTATTTGTTTAGAAATGTATCGTCAATACAAATAATTTAATCTTGTACGATACATTTTTGCAAAATTTTACACCGGAAAATTTGTGTTTGGCGAAGATTAAATAACGTATTATGTGTTTTACTATGCTTTGCGAGTTAATTAGAGATTATATGATACGAATTCTATGCCGGGATGTTTGCACTTTTTACCATGTCTGGAGCTCATACCAATGTAGCTGGTTCTTTTGTAAAACCTATAGGAAACCATGTTATCGTTAATTGAAATGAACCGGCTGCGCCCGAACCGCGCGAAATTACAAGCACAATTCGCTACATCGATAAAATGGAGTAAGGGATACATTCTCCCGAATTATTCAATAAATTCACCAATTTTTTATAGGGCTCTTCGTAAAAAAATTTGATATACTTAATATATTGACTGCATTGTTGTAATAACTCAAAAATAATTTTTATATTACTATTTTTTTTCCATTTAATTACTAACACAAGCGCGTGACTTTTAATTTGATTATTTATTTCTATCAACCTTTTAATAAATTGCATTTTGTGTAATTAAACGTGTTTGGAAATTTAATATATACTTAGATATATCGAAGTTGATTATGTGTGCCCTTACATCGCATATGTATAGTAAATTATGAAATTTTAATATATAAAAAATTTCAATTTCTATTACAATAGGAAAGGAGAATAACTACTTTGAAGATATTTATCGCAAATCAGATTGAATATTCAGAGGTGGATTGGATCGCGATAAAAATGCTAATTGCTGGCGACCAAAGTTATGAAGTTCGCGTTAATTAAAAAATTTTACGACCGATTATAAGTATACTTTTAATCGGATAATGTAAATCGCACCCGTCTAAAGACTCCATAGATTAGATAAAATCTAATTATTTTCTTCAGAGATTATTTCTGAATTTCGCCTTTAGACGATGAGACATCTCACATAAATGAGCGTTTCCTTCTCTCTCTCTCTCTCTCTAATATTTTCACGCGAAGTAATTTCCGATCTCAAATTTTTGTATTATATCTTCTCGTCCTGTTCCTTACCAATAACTATATGCCGCGATGATCGAGGAGCAACGGAAGAAGGATTATCGATCGTTATTCAAATCTCAGCTACGACATCAAGCTACGGGATATTTCCAAGTGAGAAATTTCGTAAGGACGATGCAGCTTGCTGGCAAGATGCGATTTCATTATTTAGTTCACTGACTTGAGTTCGCGTTGCCTTACGTCTTGAATCTCGATCGTAATCCCACGAGCTTCGGCATTTCTAGCAGAGATGGAAATCCACTTACAGAAATTGCCGCTGAGCGTTTTCTTTCTGACTAATTCGATTCGCGAAAATCGCGACTAAAATTTGTGACGATGGTGACGTACTTGGTGGGATTAAAACAACTCTGCTTTAATTGGATAGTAATAATTAATGAAGAGTGGTTATGAATATATATATATAATTAATAATCAATCAGCAGGTTATTGCATGCATAATGGGCTTCTTAAAAAGAATATTACGTATTGGAAATTATAATATTTTATAATATATCTACATAAGTCTTATAATTTTTTCAATTACATGGAAATTAAATCGTTCAATCAAATAAATTAAATTCTTCTGCTCTTAACTTTTGCTTCTATTTATATGGGTAAATACTTAAGGACACTTCACGGGCGAAATCATATTACTTTGCCAGTTCTATCATAGACATTAATTTTTTAGAAGAACAGCTTCCGCACAAATTTACAAATTACTTTACAAAATATAACTTATTTTATACTTTGATTAATTTAACAATTTTCAGACGTTGATGAATTTCAAATCGTGAGCTTGATACGGAGTAATTTAAGCATGAGTACCGAGACTGTAATTTAGCTTACCTCTCACAGAATTGCCTTGAGTCTTTGTTCGCGTGTGTTATCGAATCCTGTGAACTGACTCCTGTTCGCTTGTCGATCATGTCGCG